GTTGCATGAAGTTGCATCCACGCGCACACGCACAATGGTGGGGTAGAATGCGGCTCGTAACAACGATACAAGCGGTGCCAAGGCCTCTCCACGCAACCGCGCTGCAACAGAGACGCCGCGGAGCGGCTTGACAGACATGGCCCACGGTGTTTTTGGTACTCTTTCTTTCTCCATCGCACCGTTTCTTTCTTGGCCACTGCATGCAAGGTGCGCGCTCGGCATCTGTTACCTTCAAAGACTCTTTCAGATATGGTCCGGAGCGCTTCTTCTATGACTCAAAGCAGCTTGGCAGACACATCTTACAGTCACCAACTCATACCACTAGACCACCAGTCCATGCGAACTTGCAAACAACTCTCACAGAGGACCATCGGTACCGACATAGCGCAGGGGGTATGTGATTTTTGGGTCAACGTGCCTACGGGCTGGTCCTGCCATATTGTAGATATGTAAGGAGTTAGGAAAAGTTCCCCCCAGGAGAGAAGACTTGAAATTGAAATGACCATGCCTGGTCAGCAAGTGCCTGTTTGCGCATTCACAGCACTAAACCTTGTTCATAGGTTTCCGGAATGTATGGTAGGGATGGTGCAATGCAGCAATGTAGAAGCTGCATAGGGATGACATAGGGATTAAACGAGGTTGCATTAAATTATGAACCAGCAAATGGACCAAGGATAGAGATGGACACGAAAACTTCTGTTTAGGTTGCTGGGTGATGTGCTCTGAAAGCCGCAGGACTTATACGGGCGTCCACAAGCACGGAGGGCCTACTGTGATCGACCTACCAGATCAAAACGTCCTAAACCCAGATGGGACTTTCTGGACATTAGGTACAGGGTGTCCCGTGAGGGGGATTATAATGTATGAGCTGTAGTCAAAACTCCTCAAAGTGTGCTATATAGGGGATTATATAGGGGAGTATCATAGGGCTTATGAATCAAGGGGGATACTGGAGTTTAGCCTATAGCTCATATGTTATGTAGGGGTCCCATTATGGCAACTACTAGATGTTGTTGGTCATTTGAGATGTCTCTCCGTCAGGTTGGGGTGTTCCGGCTGTTCATGGCAACAGGTTTCTGTTATTCTTTGTTTCCATGCTCCCTTCCAATGCTCAGCTTTAAGCTTGTAGTTTAGCAGAAAAGTGAGACTTTTGATTGCTGAGCGGCTTGACTTTGGTTGCTTGCATGAGACTCAACAGCGGATGTGCCTTCAGCATGCAGGGCAAGGCTACCATGCAAGGAGCGAATATTCTTCAACATACCACCTATATCATCGCAACATGCCGCCATAAGCTCCGTAAAGTCCCCATGTATCCCAAAGTACGCTTTGCGCAAAGAATCCTAGGCACCAACCCCAAAGTCTTAAACCCCCAAACCCCAGACGCCTAAACCCTAAACCCTAAACCTTTTGTCTGAAGCTGGGGACAGGTTGGTTCCCCATGCGCGGACTCAGCTCGGAGTCGGCCACTGTCCTTGCACGGCTAGGGTTTTTTGGGGGTTTTAGGGTTTAGGGCTTAGGGTTTTAGGGTTTGAAGTTTTAGGGTTTTAGGGAGTTAGGGTTTTAGGGTTTTAGGGTTTAGGCTTTAGGGCTTTGTGCTGTTTAGGGTGGCTTCGGACTTTGAGTGTTTTTTAGGGTTGCTTAGAGTGGCTTGGTTTTTTTGGGCTCGTTTGGGGTTATGCAGGGTAGTTGTTTAGGGTCTGGGCTGGGTGGAGAAACTGCAGAATTCAGGGACAGCTGTCTAAGCACCATCCACAAGAGATCAAGGCCTTCTGGAAGTTGCATCGCCAAAATGGCCAAAACGTAGGGTCCCTGTTTGGGTGGAATCCCCCTTTAAGGTAGGTAGTGTACAGAGACTTTGTGATTAACCCCACATTGGAAGCTGCGGCAGGATGCAGATGCAGGCATGGTTCCTAGTCGGAGTTCTCACTTTAAACCATGCAGAATCCCGACCGGGTTGATTCCCGCCATGTCCCTTTAATTGTAGGGTCCCCGCAATTACCCCTGTTTCAGCAAACCTCCTAAATAGTGGATCGGGATTGGTGCCGAAGATGTTGTACCTGCCCAGGGCTTGGTCTACGATGTCTTCACAGCATGGGATGGGCCTGGACGCCTGAAGCGCTTGCCCTCAAAGAGTAAGCGGTTCCTGCTGTCCCTGAGAACCGGCTTGTCTAGTAGGTAACCTGTCAGGATAACTCGTTCCAGCCGTGGCCAATCCAAAGCCCTGCGTGAAAGAGCTGCGCAATAGTATCATCATCTTGTCCGTTCTACGAATCTCCTATGAGTAACTGAAATTGTGTGAATGATGTCTCCTTGATTGTACAGCAGGTGCGGCCTTCTCAACGAACCTTTTGGTTCGCATTTTGTTGGTGCCCGGGATTGTGAGGTGCAGAGAATCTTCTGCAACATCCTTCCACGGGACATCTCATGTGTTTTCACTGGGCCCCAAAGCAGGCCCCCGCCAACCTACTCAAAGTAGCGAGGCGGCCCCCAGTATTGAAGGAACCCCACAGTTCGGCATGGCTACCACACGTTGCCAATGTTCTTCCTATAACCCTAAACACTACATGGTAGTTTCCATGTATTTTTCTTTGGTTGATTCTCAATTCCCACTTTAACCTGGACCCAAATATTCCCGACACCGCAATGTAAAACCACCCAACCCCCCTCATATTACAAATTCCCAATATACTATAGTATACCACACTACTAGGAGGAGGGGGTGATTCCCAACATCTCCCCCCACTCAGCAGGGAAGCCGAGATTGAGCGCCAAAAAGGCCAGAAGCTCAGAAAGGGCCTGGGTTCCAGGTCTAGAAAAGGTTGGATTCAGTAATAACAGTAATAACAGTGATAATAGTTTTCAGAGTGATTATCACGGAAAACAAAATGGAAACTACAGTGGTAATGTGGGGATCATATGGCAAAGTGTGGGAGATAGGGAGGAAAGCAGTGCCCCCATGTCAGGCAAAAGGGTGGCTCAACACCTTTTTGGAACAGATGTGCATCCATCATAGGCCTATTCCTGGGGTCATCCCCCCTTACAGTAACTGTTACCACAATGGGTTGTAGGAGTTATAAGAACCCCCTTAATAAGGCCCCTTTGAGGACAGTTACTGGGAGGGGGAATGACCCAACCTGTTCCACAGCAGTGAATTGCGTACAGCTTGCCAGCATGCATTAGCCCATTTTGCTCGGGGGTCTTTGCGTTTGAGCTGCCACTGCGCAATCGATCTTTAACCCGTCCTGGCAATCCTAGAGTCCTCAGCATGGCATAAACAACTTACTGGTGGTTAGTAGAGAACGAGGGAATGTTTTCCCTATATAATATATTCCCATGTTCCCTAGTAGCCACCAGTAAGACAAGTACATGAGGCATATTTGGATGCGGCGATCTCTCTGATGGGTCCAAAATTCAGGGGTCCCGTTTTTGGGCTGCTCTAATGTACATTACTGTACATGGGGGTCTATATACTCAACTTGTCATTGCACACTGATTGAAATCGAGGTCTTGCAGCTGCGTTGGCCCCTGTGCAGCGCCCGGCTTTCGCGCACGAGCGGCTTAACACACCACATATGGGTAGTTCCTACAATTAGGGTCCGGGTCCCATTTTGGTACCCCTAAAAATTAGGTGCCCGAACAGAATTCATACCCAAAAAGAGTCCAGAATTTTGAGAACAACCCATGCATTGTGGTTGTTGCTGGTACTATACCCCAAGAATGGGGAATCAACTGGAGAAGAAATTTGCAGACGAAGCGCAAACTGGAACGGGCAAAATTCTCTAAGGCTGGCGGAGCTGTCGAGATGGAGGCGGCTTGCTGTTTATTGATGAGGTTCAGGTGTGCTTTGACTTGAAGCAGGGGCTCCAAGACGGTTCGACAGTGTGGTACCTAGGAGCCAACACATCGCCCGCCCAGACAAAACCAGAGCAACATGCTAGTTTTGTAGACTGACACGTGGCAAGTAGAATAGGTCCTCTTGCTAGTTCCGCTGCAACCCGGGCTTGGCATAAGCCTCCTGGAGTGGTGGCCGGTGGTGAAGCATATATGAGACTAGCAACGGAAGGCTGATGTTGAAAAAAGCCCGGACTGATTGCGTCCAGGCTTCACTGCAACAGATCAATGGCGAGCTAGTCAAGGCCCTGTCCTCAGAGCAGAACGGCACCTGATGTACCTGCCGTCCTCGGAGATGTGGGGGGGCGAAGGAATTATCTAATTAGTTGTCGCTGTACTTCTCAGGCCCAAGAGTCAGCAAGGAAGTCCCGACGGCAGGAAGAGGCCTGCAATTGATGGCCGATGCGGCACATGCGTGATGATGCCGAATGATGCGAAAAGCTGCCCTCCAACCCTGAAAGTGTTCCCGCTTCCGAATGACGGTCACCCAATGAGGCTGAATTGTGCTCTTGTTTTGTGCTGGAGGTTCTGCAGGTGTTGACAGCCCTTTATCCGCACGAGCGTTGCAAGCAGTAACCCTCTGCTGATTCCCGTGGGGCATTGCTTGTTTGAGAGCTGCAGTTGCAAGCACCGGTACGCAAGCAGCTAACACGGCGAGGAGCTTCGAAATGACTTGGCAAAGCTGAAGGACGATAGCTCGCTAGCCGCATCGATGCCGACAATGTTTCAGCATTAGTAGTCTGAAGCCATGCGCGCTGCACAGAATCTGCGGCATGCCTTGCAAAGTAGGCTATCCGAATCTATGCAACATGCACTTTGAGTGCAATAGTCGCACAACTGGCTTCTGTTTTCTGCGGTATGTTGGGTTACACAGGAGCGAACAGCAGCTACCAAAGACAAGCTGCTGTACCAGGACTTGCCACACAGAGCCGTGAATACTCCATTTGCATAGCACACGGCGTCTGCCGCATGGTTTTGCGCAACCCGGTTCATTGTTGGAGAGGAAAGTGACACAGACGAGCGCTTGTTGCGTCACTCCGCCACTGCGGTTCAAGAACAGCTTTCATCGAACCGATGCCTAGGGAGGAACAACTTCTCCTCGGCTCTACATGGAACTCCGGATCCCTTTTCTGGCTTGGTGCTTCGTAACTCTGCAGGTAGCATGGGCAGAGGAGCGATGCAGTGACGCGGCAGAGCAGTGGTTGAAGGGCTTCTTTCATAACATGGCGTTGCTTTAGCTTAGGCCATGATCTTTTGTAACCCCAATAAACTTTCATAGCTCCTTTTATGATCCTTACATCGTTCCTAAAAAGGAGTAATAGTTGCACAGATTCTGAAGGCTCGCACTTCGGGAAGACATGGCAGGGCGATGCAGAAGTGAACGAAGTCAGCTTCCTGCAGATGGGTCTGCAATCCGTGGTGCAGCTCGGGCAATCACCTAGGACCGTACGTCTGTTTGGGTGGGTTTTCGTTTGACCGCCTTCTCCTCTGACCGCACATGAGTTGTTCCCAAAATTATGAGCCCCTTTTTGGCTATACACATTTTAGGGGTACCAAAATGGGACCCTAATTTTGGGAAGTACCCAGTTGCCTGGGAGCAGCTGTTGTTTCATGCTGCTGCTGGCTTTAGGGCAGACTGGACTCTGAAGTCTGCTTGACCTTTCGTGTTGGATCATTGCTTTAGGTTTGATATAGGAGATAACGGAAAAGAAAATGGAAGCTACTACAGTAGTATAGGGAGGCAAATAGTAATATAGATATTGTATAGGGAGTAATGGAAAAGAAAATGGAAGCCACTAAATTCTTATCGGAGCCCCACACACCCCGAAGCCTCAAGTCGTGCCCATGTCCAATACACCTGAGCTATGCATGGAACAACATGACCTCTTGTAGTGCCAGATGATGCTATGCCATGTTATAGACGATTATACTATATTACGCTACATTATATGTATGTGTATATGTATACATAATGTACTGCACAATCCAACGAGACTTGCAGCATCACTCAGGCATGCCCCCCTAACTGGACTTATATGAGCTCTACAGCTATAGTCTAAACTCTTTAAAGGGGGCTATATAGGGGATTGTATAGAAGAGTATGATAGGGGGTAATTAAGGGGGTTACTCGGAGTTTGGACTAAGTTTAGACTGTTGCCCATATTACCCAACATGCAGACTGATAAGCTGGGCTTCAAGTAGTTACTAAGTCCCCGACTGTGCACATGGAAGGGTGGGCCAAGCAGATAACTTGCGTGCTTTGCTTTGACGGTTGGCACTCTGCTTTTTGTACGTAGTACTGTATATTGTGTAAGAGTACAAGATATTTCTGCTACATTCAATATAGGTATATCTAGTTCTATGTATTGCTATATGTTATTGTGAGCCCTTCATGGAAGCAGAGCAAGCCTGCGCTCGCATGGCCATTTGCATTTATTTGCCACCTAGGAACAAGCGCGATAAGGAGGAAGTACTCCGCTTCATGCACATTCCAAAGATGCCAACCAGCAATTTAGGGTTAGGGTGTAGGGTTTAGGGGGTGTATATTGGGATGATATAGGGATAATGGAAAAGAAAATGGAAACTACTATAGTATATTGGGGTTATATAGGGACTATTATAGGGATAATGGAAAAGAAAATGGAAACTACTACAGTATATTGGGATGATACAGGGATGATGGAAAGAAAATGCAAACTACGTATTATATAGGGTTCCCAACCCAAGAGCTGTTCCAGTTGGGTTTAGGGCTTACAGTTGCTGATCCTGGTGCAGAGTCTGGATTCAAATAGGGTTTAGGGTTTAGGGTGTCTACTTCCGAGCATGAAATAAAGAGGGACTTAAGGGATTGAAGATTATGCAAAAGAAAATGGAAACTACTATATTTATTGGGCTTATATAGGAATACGGGTTTATATAGGAATGCTACTATACTTTTTGGCTTTATATAGGAATACTATTGTACTTATTGGGATTATATAGGAATACTATTATACTTTTTGGGGTTATATAGAGATGTAAAGGCTTGTTATGTAGTGCAGGCAATGTTTCAGCCACTGAGGACGGGCGGCACTAGCATCGACTCTGCCACTAAGAAGCGAGCAGAATTCCTCGTCATTGCTTGGTTGTTTTGAGGAGTCTTTAATATTGGGACTCGCCAATATGAACCCCTACATAGACCCAGTTTCCATTTCATGGTCCATTTTTTCCATGCGACTCTCCATTTTGGGAAAACTTCTGATATAACCCTGTTTTCAGAGATCCCTTCAAGGCCAACTTGCATCTTCCGCCAGACAAGCGCGCTTACGACTCCTACATGCTGCAGACATATCAGCGCATTGCAGATTCACGACACCTGGAGGGTCAGGTGCCACTGGAAAAATTGCCAGAAAAATTGGGTATTTAGGGGTTTCCCAAAATTTCCGGGGTGTAACCTTTGCGGGCCCTTGTAATAAGGATTATAATATGTATTGGCGTTCATGATGGGGATTCCCTATTTGGGAAACTACCATCTGCATTTGCCCACAGCCTTTCCAGGACCTGGGGGCCATCTTCGACGAGTCGCACAGCGATATGTTCAGCTACATCATCTTCATGGGCCTGAATGCGGGCTCGTATCGGATAATACCACCGGGAGTGATAGATGGATGCGAGGACATACACACGCCGCCATCCCGAAGCGCCTGGGCTCAGAGAGACTAGCCGCTGGTAGACTTATAATATACCATAATATATTATAGTATACTATAGTATATTATAATATATTATACTATATTATATATATTAGAATATATTATAATATACTATAATATATTATAATATACTATAATATCCCGATGGGCTCAGCCAGGCCTCTGTTTGCCCATGGAAAGATGCTTCAGCTCGGCAGTGCTGGAGTCCACTGCAGTAGAAGCAAGGAAAGGCAAGCGCATCCAAAAACGTCTAGCGTGCCTTCTACGAGTCATATAGATGTGTCCTTCAGGAACTTCTGTTAAGGCTCGGAGACGCAAAGGTTGTGACTGTTTCTTGGGACGTGCTGCCCAGGTGCAGAGGTAGCCCTCTACTACCAGGAGCGCACCACTTTTTGCGCCGTGCGTGAGCCTCTAGCGCGTTACTGGAGTGCCTTCAAGATGATTTTCTATGCTGCTTGGACCATTGGAGACCAAGGGTGGCCTCAGATTTGCATTACTTTTCTGGCACTTTAACGACCCAGAAACAAGCAGGCATGCAAGAACAGCAAGGCCTGCACGCAAAGCAAAGCTGCTATGCCGGTACCCAACTCAAAATACACTGGCTCCACTTACCTTGGGTGGTTAGCAAGGGGATGCAAGGGGTGGATCCTGATTGTAGTCCCTATATGACCCCAGTAATACTTCACTTTCCCTTTTGTTTTGAATTCCTTCATTCCTTGCCAACCAGGGGTAAGCCCGGAACCCTATTTCCTATAAACCCCAGTTTCCATGTAATTCCCGTGTTCTTTGCCATTTGATTCGCCATCATGGGGGTAATGTCCCCAAACCCTAAACCCTAATCTGCTGACTCTAAGAAAATAGTAATAGTAATAATAATA